TCGGTCCACACCACGGATGATCCTATGCCAGGACGGCCGATTTGCAGCAACTATTTCCCAAGTCTCAGGGAAACTATTGCTGCAAATAGGGCATTAGGACTTGTAACGTTGAAAACAATTTACACATAGAAACATCATATTTCTGGTATGGACTGCTGAATCAATATGAATAAAAATAAATAAAAATTTAACTTGAAGAATACTTCCTTTGGAGAATTTTTGAGCTTGAAAATTTTACATTCAAATTTAATTGTGTATGTGTGTGTCGACATACGCCCACGTGTGTGTGTGTTTCCTTAAAATATGTTGGTGAAATATCCAGAAACTTAAAAACGTATTTATAAACGCATATCGACTGATTGATTCGTTTTCTACGGCTTATCAACCCTTTACAGGTTATTGTAACAGAGAATAGGGTCAGCCCAATAAAAGACTCCGAGTTGGTTGTGTGTGGTGCTACAAGCCCCAGGATTTGCGTCCCCTTCCATAATAGGCTGTTGAGAGAAGACTTTCTACTTAGAGTAGGTGGCGCTGCCTGTTTGCATGCGAACGATACTGGGCAGGTATTTGCCAACAGTCAGCGTGGGTCTGGGTCTGGGACTGGGAGAGGTATATAACACCAGTGTTTTTCTCAGTCGAGAGAAGGAGCTCTTGGCGTGCAGAAGCCAGATAAGACGAACACGGTTATTTAAAGTCAGAAACTATTTTTAGATTGTAAGTATAATGGACTTTACTTAACGGTGATCGTACGGGAACTAATGTTTCAACGTGATGTGGCCGTATTCCTTATAAATAAATAAAAATATCTACATAATGTTTTATCCAATACGTTAATTATACACAGAAATAATTTCAACCACAATTTCGATCTCAAAAATCCTGTCGTTGTTGGGAAAGAAAATAAATTACTGAGATGGAAAGTTCTGAAAAGTGCATTAATAGAAACTTGCCTAAACATAAAAATACGCCTCAGAATTTCAAATATCTCGTCACTTAAAAGAAATGCTCCTTTCTCAAGCCAACATATTTATGTACGACCATAGAATTATAAAAATGAAGGAAAATGGTTACTCACGACTAAAATAGAATTATTATTCACTTTCACAGACGAAACGATGCCAGCCTCTCACTATTCTATTGCTGTTACTATGGCAGATGTTCGGACGAGTTACATCCCTTAGTTCCACTAGTTCAGACCTACACAATTAGGATTTGATAAGCTATATTCACGATGCCAAATCATTCCTTTTGTGCGCAATTTGCATTCAGCTTCTTCCCCACAACTGTTACTTAGAACAAACTCCCGAGGGGATATTTTCCTGACATAAACAGTCTTGGTCTCATCAACACCAGATCAACCGTTATTTATCCTACATATCCTCATAATGTACACTTCTTACATTCTCATTCCTTACTCCCCCACCCACCTTACAACAAATCTACCTTGAAAAGCTATTGGGTTAATTAACCGTAAAAAATAAAAACATATCAACATTTAAATCACTTACCGTCTTCCATAGTTTCCCTTCCCTTTCCTTGACGTCGAGAGATTTTCGAATATTTTCAAAGTGTTCTAATTCATATTTGAACGCTGGACGATATTTTTTTCTCAATGATACTTTTTTTTTCTTGGTTTTTCGATAAACTTTCCACATTTGCCTTTGATAAAATTGTGTCAGGGAACGAAACGTGTCGGCATAAAACGTTTGCCATACATTTATTTGCATTTTAATTTCTACATTTACACAGGCGCGCACACGCACGCACGCATACACATATATCTAGATAATTGTGTATTTGGGCAGCAGTCCCTCTTTTATACAAGTTTCATTAAAGACGGCTGACAAAGTACTGTGATTAAGCTTTTTATTATTTTTTTCTTGCATTCAGTGTTTTCTTTTCTGGATATAAAGTGTGTAAAAACTGTTTGAATGTTCTATATATCCATAGCACTTTCAGGAATTCTGTTAGCCGTTTTTTTAACTGAATACCTACATTTTTATTTATATTTATAGGGATGAGAATGTTTGGGGTTTTTTTTTCGGATCCGAACACGGTCAGAAAGTTGTGGTCATATTCATCCTTTGATATTATTGGGTGTTGATTTCTTCGTTTTTATTATTAATACCTCCATTATTTTCAACCGTTTTTTTGCAGATGGATAACGCTATTATGATCGTGTTTTCGAAAAGCATGTTGCACAAATATACACACACACAAATATATATATATATATATATATATATATATATATATATATATATATATATATATATATACAAGCATCTATGCTCGCGTGTATATGCTCAATATTGAAATTAATATTTAATCAAGAAATTTGTCAGGCATAGCACGTTTATTTAGAATTCCAAAATGACGAACAAATAAATACAATTTAATAAAAAAAAAAAAAAAAAGAAATAACGTAATCAGTGAAGCTAAAATTATTTTTTTAAACATCAGGTTTCATTTTTGGATGCAACACAGCTATAATTAACTCATCAAATGTTATCGTTCGTCGGACAGTCGTTAAAATAACCCCCGGGAAATGTAAATATACCGTTAAATATTTATTACTGTATGGGATTTGTGAAAAGCCTGTAACTTTCATTTGAAGAGCCCAAATAGTTATACTAAAGACGGTGCTATACACAGAGACAACAATTTGAAATAAGTTTTGGCATTTATTTTTCGTTTTTAAAGATAAAAATGTTTGCTTTTTGTTTTGTTTTGCTTTTTCTATTTCTTTCTTTCTTTTTGCTTTGTTTTGGTTTCTTATTTCAGCTAAAGCCGATGCTATATTCTGCTTCTAATCAAATCTCTTTCTTATTTACACCGCATCAACACCGGTCTCCCGGATGTGAATGTTACGAAAGCAAAATAAAAAAAATCGCTTACCAAGCATCACACTGAGCTCACAAGACAACCCCCATCCAATATAAAATATAATTTAAAAAAAGCCAATCGTGAAAATTGCCGTTAAAGTAAAAGCGTGACAAAAGGCGCTGAGTCATGTATTCACCCTGACCGCTTAAAAGTACCCGACGCGACATTCAAGGCAATCTCAGGCGTGTAGACAGCCACCGACACCACCAGTGGCCTCGGAGAAACAGCCTGACACAAGCTTCAACGCCAGGCCCTAACGACTCCCTCATCCTCCAGGTCGCTTCCCTCACCCACAAAGACTCCCCGTCTTGATTCTCTATATCGGCAATGCAAAAAATTTTATTTTAGCATATCTTGTCACCTTTTCCTGCTGCCTCACAAGTAATACTTTGTTATTTTCGTTTGTTCTCGTGCAACCGTACGCGTTATATATTATCAATAAGTAAGACAAGAAATAAATTATGAAACAAAAAATATAATGTAACTCAATTTATAATTGTGGAAAGGGAATACGTAAGGTAAATAAACATCTCACAAATAACATTTTGATTTGTTAGATTTTACAAATTATCACAACTCACGGTACCAATTAGTGTTGTAGATGTATCTCAAGTACTGCAGCCGTAACGGTGTGTCTAAGGTCAAGACAATCTGGCAGAACCTATCTCATTTCAGGCTAGTTTTGAATTCAGTTATCCTTCTAATAGAATGGTAGCCACCCAAGGTTGGAGAGACCAGTCCACCATGATATATAACTGGGAGGAGAAACAGGTTCATGCCTTCCCCGAGGCTATTTGTGTGGAAGTCAACACACCAAATTAGCCCGGAATTTGAACTTTTTTGATAAATTCGATTTTCCGCAGCAGCATTCGTTGCACTACTCACACATCCTTGCAAAATCTACGAATTAAAGAATATCAACTTTAGTCACCTATTCGAAGGTGAAGTTATTATTATAGAAAAAACGTTTCGATCAAATAATTTCTGTCCATTATTTTTGCTATCATAGATAAGTCGATAATTTTTTTCTACAATAACATAATCAAAATGGAAACAATGGCTCGAATAAATTAAATAAGCGTATACTGACAATTCATCTCCAAAATTAAATGCGAAATTGAAGAAATAGCTATATATATTTTTTTATTGATTAATTCGTTTTCTACGGCTTATCAACCCTCTGCAACCGTCCTGCGTATGACGATAAACTACATCCGCGTCCTGGGTAAGACGATAAACTACGTCTGACAGCAAGGCCTCTAATCAGGAGGTTTTGAGGAGCGTGGAACCACCTCTTAATTGCTGGTGTTCCCAGGTCCACCCCTGACCCGGGTGGTAGCACCTGTTAGGGTCCCAGCTATGGACAAATAGTTAACCCCAAAACTGGGGTCAAAACACTATGAAAGTGTAAAAATAGGTTTTAATATCAGAAATACTTTGTAAAATATTATTACCAGCAATACATTTTTAAAAAATATTACCAGCAATACATTTTTGAAAAAATATTACCAGCTATACATTTTTTGATAAAAATAATAAAGAAATAGATTTTTGAAGGAAAAAATATTACAAGCAATACATTTTTAGGGAAAAATATTACAAGCAATACATTTTTAGGGAAAAAATATTGGTAGTAATAACAATTTTGTCAGCATTAAATAACCCATTGTGGGTGTTGTGCGGTAAAACAAAACAAACCAAACCCTTTGCAAATTTTTAAAGTCAGAAAAGTTATTTTAAGAATTCTTTTGGAGATAATAACGGTTTAGTGATACAAATCTTACTAATTAACCTATAGCTGGAGGCAGAAGTAATGAATTCATTCCTTTTGCAAGGGTATTTGCGCGTAAGTGAATTTAACGAAACCAACAGGAATTGGAACTCGGATCTCCGATTAACAATTTCGAAACATTGTCAATGACACCACCCGCACACTCCTCAAAACCTCCTGATTAGAGGCCTTGCTGTCGGACGTAGCTTACAGTACGTGGTATTCTGAAAGTGTAACCGATCTAGAAGTGTATTACCAGCAATAGGCTCAACATTTCTTAACTTCGGCGATAGTACAGGAACCGGTGTTTCATCGTGATATGGCCATACGCCGCTCATTCAAGCTTGCTGCACCTGGTATTCCTAAGCAGTTACCCATCTAGGTACGGATCAGACTCGACGTTGCTTAACTTCGGTGATCGTAAGGAAACCGGTGTTTCAACGTCATATGGCCGTAAGCCGCTTTATTTGAATGACGAAACAATTATAACAGCTATCATGATAAATATCGAAGACAGTTTAGAAAACTCTTAGTTTGACTAAAATAGAGCAATGGCCAACAATTTATCTGAATTCTCCATCTTAAAATAAAAATAAGTTTTCCAAATTTTCTCATAGATTTACCATTTCGTCTGGTCCTTTTTATTGTTTCTGCAGTTTTCTTACTATGTCTTCTAGCAACATGTTGTCATTTGTGTATCTTATAAGAGTGTGCCCACCAATAACTGGCAAAACGGACTTCCAATCAGTTGTTAACTGATGCAAGGAATTGCTTGTAAATTTTAATTTCTCCAAAACGACACTTATCTCTTAATCACCCCAGGTAACCTGTTTTGCCTTCCATCAGTATGACTGATGCTAACATCGAGGAAAGCAATTCACTGCACCCTCTTGGTCTCAAGTTTGTCACTGAGTGGAGTGATTATATTGAATCAATTGATAGGTCTGCTGCTAAGAATGTTGGTTTACTGTGTCGTGCCAGATAATGTTTCTCATCAGAATCCAATCTTGTCTGGTGCTTCTGCTATATATCTCGTGATTTTCAACAACATCCGAAGAAGGATACTTAATGTAATCGATCCTGACCTGGCATCTCGACTTTAGTCAGTTTCTCACCGCCGTCATTTGGCTTCCCTCTGTCTTTTCTATATTGGCATGCGACAGCATGAATTTAAACTTACTACTAGATTGGCATCTAGGTCTCAACCTTTTATTGCTGAATTAGCTAGATGTAATCTTAACTTCAATTATAATAGTTTCTTTTTCTCGCACTTCTCACTTGTGAAATTCTCTTCCAGTTTTTTGCTTCTCTGACGCCTACAATCTTCAAAAATATAAATCCAAAATCAATCGCTGTCTTCTTGAAAGCTGTTCTTTTATTATCCTTCCATTTCACTGAAGTCTTCTCATTCTATTCCACTCTCAGTAATCCCGGGCGTCTTAGTGACATTATCGCCTTGCTTGAAGTGAAATGATTAAAAAAAAACGACTACTTCTCTTAAATTCGTCCCTCTGTATAGTTTGAATAAATCTGTATGCTTGCTATATGTCACTTTCTGTTTTCGTTTACTTGCTCAAATCAGTTTTTGCCCAGATTCAGGTGGCTTGATCCCAGTTATATACGAGAGGGGGCTGAAAAGTTCAGAGGCTGACTATGAGAGTAGTGATGTAATGCTGTGAAATCTTGCATCCATTAAACTCTTTTTAGTAATAACTGCATTGTTTCTTTACAGCTAAGCTGACATCTGACTGTTCAGAGAACTTTTCGGCTCACACTTGAATTCTAGATTATGACAAATGTTCTTACCGTACATGTGAAGGACAAAAATCTCATTAGTACAAGAAAAAATATTTATTAATAATTAAAAATAACTTCGCAATAATAATCTCATGTTAACAGCCGTATATCTCGTAAGGCCTGGCTGAATAGAATCAGTCTTGTCAATAGTTATTTCTGGAATATCTCAAGTGTCCAATTCTTAAACGACAAGGAATGTATGCAAAAATGGCGTGTAGAACATGAACTTGATGTTGCGGTCTTCGCACTTTGAGTCGTCTTCTATCCTACAGCTGATGGCTAGGCGTGTCCTCAACTCTCTTGATGTCTTATCGAACAGCCTGTCGTCAGCTGGTATGGTCACCCGCAAACTGCGCCCAGTTACGTTCCTTCCCTGATCACTAAAATCTTATCCTCGAGTCAGTCAATCGTTATCTATCCTCCATATCCTCGTAATTTTCACTTCCTACCTCCTCCTCTTTCTCTCATATCACACTTCATTCATTATAAGCACATAAACGATCACTCTCTACCTTGAGTGGCTCTCGAATCTAGCATTGGATATACTTAAGTATGGCATCAAACACGTTCAGAAATATCTAAACTGTCAGCCGTATACCACCGCCTTCTCCGATCGATAGTGGGTTCGAGTGAACGAAGCCTGTATGTCTTAACGATGACCATCGTTTTTCGAACCTTACGAATTGGCGCTACAGAATCACAAAGAACTGATCATTTGAGAACTTTCAGCGCCAGCAACAACTAAAATGGAGAGAAATGTAACTTGGAGAGAAAATAAAGACAATAAAGATGTTGATTTTCCACATGATTTCAAACAAAAGGTTAAGAAGGAAGCTCCCATCAATAATAGAAAGTTCGATAACAGTTACTGGACTTGAGAAACCGATTTTCCTTAAAAATTGTTTTAATAGAAAGATTTTTATTAATTTCAATCGAAAGTATCATTAGCTGATCGATCAATGAATACAGAATGTTTCCTTATAAGGAAAGGGTAAATATTATCATTACTATTAAAGTGCCGTACAGGGCAGCCCACTGGGCGTTGTCCTGGGGCCAGCTTACTGCACATGACTTCTTTTGGTATGCAACCATTATTTATTCGATTAACATGACCTAACTATAACAGTTGTCGCTGGTAAAGGAGGAGACGTAAGCTTAAGAATTCCGATCGCTCCATCACGGTGGTATTTGCGAATTTGTCTCACCACGTGACCCTGAAGATGTGTGAAGATGAAAACATTCCAAAAGGTTCTTTTGTCTCACGTAAGTCGCCTAAGATTTACTGCCACACTACAGGGGACTGAAGATACGTACCAGGTGTAAACTGACTGTTTTTCCACACACTCTTGCTTAATTTGTTCAACACAGCAGCTTTGGCGAATTAACTATTGCTGCCCTACACGCAAGCCGCTAGTGGCCCGCTGGCGCGCCGGCGATGAAAACGCCAGTGGTCCTCTGGTGACAGCCTCCAGTGGGCCTCTAGCTGTCCGCTAGTGGTAGCATTGCAGAGCCGAACACGCCGGCGGTCCGACAGCAGGCCACCAGCAGTAACCGCTAGTGGCACGACACCCAGTGGCAGATTGGTGGCTTGCGTGTAGAATGGTGATTGCGGGGATGAGTAAGTGATCAGTCACCTCACTGTCGAGGTACAAGGTGATCCGAAAGTCTTGTCACCTTCTACCAAACAGTAATGAGAACAATAGAACACGTAATACAGTAATACAAAGCTCATGTACTGGATTCAGTTTACTCACTTTCATTGACGCTGTCACACATCGAAAAGTCCTGTATGAACACCATTTTCGTGTTAGTCATCTGAAATAGAAAATTATAGTATTAGGGTGACAAGACTTTCGGACCACCCTGTAGATTGACGCTAGGGCAGTAACGCTTTTGACACATAATTTCGGTTTTCTTTCTACTGCACAAATGGCTAAATCAACTGTTGAATGGTCTCTTCCATGTGAGCTGTCAGTTATCTCAACGGCAAACAAGAGTGCCCTGATGAGGACTGTTGGAAGTAAGTAGTGAATAGTTTTAGAAAGTCAAACACGTTTGTAAAATCGATGAAAGCTATATATCATGGCATCTGTTAATTGGCATACTGAAAAAATATTTTTGGAGAATAACGTCAGAAAACGAATAAATATTTAATTAAATTCTGAATATTCCAATCCTTTGGATGAGCACGAAAAATATCTAATCATATATATAAGTGCTGTGTAAGATAAATATATTTGGAACATAGAACGTGTAAATCATTTGAACATTTCTTACACGCTTTATTTTCTAAAAAGAAATCTCGTGCAAGAAAAAATATAATAAAAAGCTTAATCGCAGTGCCTTGTCAGTCATCTTCAATGAAACCTGTATAAAAGAAGGACTGCTGCTTGAGGTTTCTTTTTTGAACATAGTGTTTAAGAGCTGTCTAAATGATCTTTGGATCCGAGCGCTTTCGGCTAATCTCTTGGTCGTTATCAAGAATGTTTTTGTTTGTCTTAATATATAGGTTGTGACGTTTGAAAGTGAAGTCCATCGATAGCAAGAAGATACGAGAATTGATGCGAAAACACACCCTCGTTTCCCACCGCATATTAAAGTCCACCGAGATTTTCCCTTTGCAGCTGGCTACATCATATGTGTTCTCATGGAAGGAAGTCGGCAATAGCTTCGAAAGTCAAACGCCTTTGTATAGTCGACGAAGGCTATATACCCAGGAATCTGTAGATTTCGACGGCACTACTTAAGTTGACTGGTCCGCTGAGAAAATATTATGGGGGTGGGCAATCATTTTTTGTAAATTAGCTTTCATTAGATATTTCTTTACCCAATTTTGTCCGAATAGAAAAATATTAATTTTTTTATCATTTTAGAAGCAAGGTCATGTTCAAGATATAAATAAAGAGTTATCTGTACATTGTTTTTATTTAAACATGTTAACCTTGAAACTATTTACGTAATTAATAATTTATCACTACTGGTGATATCTTTTCTCGCAATTCGTAATAGCACGCGGAGATCGATTTGACATTGTATTTATACTGTGAACGGGAAGCCTAATTTAAAACGATTAAAAATAAATAGTTTTCGGTTCTGACAAATGTCGTGTTTTGCTGACCGTCTAATAAATGCTTATCTACAAGAATTATTCGCCAAAAAACATTTTCCCTGTTTGTTTGTTTTTTTACCAGAGAGTCTGTCAAGTAGTTTACTAGAGCGGAAAGTACTTAGAAGAAAATGAATAATTTATTATTTACACTATTTATGGGCACCGCTAAGAAAATCAGAAAGACAAATGACAGCAAGGCTTCAACAGCATCAGCATCAGCAGTCAAATCATGACAATCAGCAGGTAGGTTAGGTTCACTTTTGAATTAAATCGTTAGTTCGTGAATTTGATGCCATAGTGATGGTGAGTTCAATCCCTGGAACGGACAGTGTGTACTTGAACTCTGTGGAAACGAGCGAGCAATAACTGAACAGTACTAAAAATAAGAAATACACGAGATATCCCTAGACATGAACAGTGGAACGAGAACAGTCTACCCCCGGACATTAAATAAATGGTTCAGTTCAGAATTCACTGTAGATTATCCAGATCGATATACACCTGAGGAAGCCCGGAGGGCACAACAGCCGAAACGTTGTGATAACAACAAA